ACAGACTAGAACAAAAGGATTGTCAATCTTACTAATTAATTGTGAGCTACAGTTAGAATATAAGACATTTTCACGTCAACTCGAGATATGACATGAATCTACCAGATAGAAATGAAAAAAAACATTAACAATGTATCAATTTAATTACCACCTAGAATTCAGTTTTAAGACATTTTCATTGCCAATGGAGATGACAAATGAGCCTGTCAAATGCAGACTGGAAGAAAAAACATTTGTCAATCTTCCTATTAAAATCACGAACTACAAATAGAATGCAGAGCATTTACACACTCATGCTTAATGAAAAAATGAATCTTTCAGACACAGATTAGAAAAAAAAAAAGATTTTACAATCTATGTATCTAATTACCAACTATAGTTAGATTTGAAAGCATTCCCCACCATTGGAAATGAGAAATGAATCTTGTGATATAGAGTAGAAGAAAAAAAATCTTTCAATCTCCCTATTTTTTGTGAACTATGGTTAAAACGTATAGTAATTTCATACCCATTCGAGTTGTAAAACAACCATTTAACATAGAAAGTAGAAAACAGATTTTTCGATTCATTCATTAAATTACGAAGCATAGTTAGATTTTACTCATTTTCCACCACCATTAGAATTGAGAAATGAGCTTTTGAGATTAAAAGAGGAATGCTCATGGTTTTAGTATGATCGTCAGATTTATGTTACTTAATGATGCAACTTATGTTCATAGAACTAAAGCACTTATAGTTTATGAGTTTAAGAGAGGATAAGGCTCCCATTTCGGCACATGATACAAGCGGAACAGAGCTTTTAACATTGTACTATATGATCTTATTATTAGGTCTTACAATTGAAAGTGGAACAAGAACAATCACAAATTGATTTGTTAAATTTTTCTGTTTGATTTTCCAGCGATCTATTGAATTTTAAAATGTCATCATCCGATGCTGATTTCATCGCATACATTAATAATGTTTCGGCTCAAATTAATCGTTATTTTTCAATTTTCATCTTTTTATTTGGCACATTGGGTAATATTCTCAATATTCTTGTTTTATCACAGCGACCTTTTCGGAAAAATCCATGCGCAGCACTCTTTTTGGTCTCATCTATAGCTAATTTTATTGCAATTCTTTCTGGTCTCACCTCACGAATGTTGTCAGGTTGGGCAGCTGATCTGACAAATACCGATCGCTTTCTTTGTAAACTTCGAGCTTTTGTTCTCAATGTGGCAAGACCTGTGGCATTTTGGCTCATACTATTAGCAGCTATAGATCGATGGCTATTATCAAGTCCTAATGTTCGTCTTCGACAAATAAGTACATTGAAAAATGTACAGCGAGGCATGTTTGTCATTATAGTTGCCTCTACAATTCTCTTTTCTCATATTATCTACTGTTATGAACCAAATTTGATTAATGCTCCTTTGAAATGCTATGGAATAACATTAACATGTCGCTTTGTTACGGATATATCTTTTACGTTCATCACGATACTGATTCCGATTTTACTTATGTTCGTTTTTGGTTTAATGACCATCAATAATGTACGTCATTCACGAGGTCACATTCAACCTAAAGATGTGCCGACTGCAACTACCCAATGTCATACAAATGAAAACCAAGGATACCGTCGGAAAAAGACTGATTTTCATCTTCTTGTTATGCTTCTCGTGCAAGTTGTTCTTCTCTGTATCTTTGGTCTCCCATTGGGCATTCAAAAACTGTACGCAACTATAACAGTAAACAGAATCTCAACCAAATCACAAGTTGCTATTGACAATTTTGTCTACAGTTTTGTTCTGCTTCTTAATTTTTTGGCTAATGGAATGCCATTCTATATTTACACACTGGTTGGCGGAAGCATATTTCGAACAGAGCTGATGAAAATATTGTTGGCAACCAAAAAGAGGATCGTTTGCCGATGACAATTATTTTAACGTACTAAACAGAGACCTTATAATACAAAACACTTGTACTATTTAATTATTAAAAAATAAAAATAAAAGCATTTGAGCAAACATGTAAATCTCATAGTAGAGCGTACACACACACAACATATAACTGCAACAGCTATCAAAGTATTCTCTCATCTCATGAGTTTTTTTTTCAAAGTCCAAAAAATGAAAGATGATTATGTTTCGGTAAATTCCAACCCTGTTCCTGATAATCATTTCTGTTTCTTTTTAGTTCTTTCGTCCTTAAGGAAAATAGAAGATCTGATCTACAGACTTTTTAAAGCCTTTTTTCTTACAAATTGTTTGACACAATGATCGAAATCTTTTTCCTCGGTGAAGAAATGCAGCTGCTACTCATAGACATTTGTTGACTAATTTCAGAGCTGCTCTAAACTTTTGACAAAGTAGTTCTTCTTGAGTATGCGGAAGAAAGGGAAAAAGCATTGTCTCAAAACATTGGTGCAAATCACTCTGTTGTGTTTCAATCATTTCAATTGCATGTGTTGATGTTGGAAAGAGAGAGAACTCTATTTCTCAGTTATATATCAAAGAGACACTTTCAACGGAAAACATCCTAGCCAAGTTCTTGTGAATACTTAAGAGTATGTTAAGGTACAAGAGGTATGAAGAATGATGCTTTCTAACTGTGTTCTCTTTGAAGACAACAAACACTAATTGATGCTCCTTATCAGATTGATGCAAACGTCAACGAAGAGAAAATTTATTGCTCTGGTAAACGAAATCACATTTATTCTTCGCTTTACTCTCATTCAAGTATAAATAATATATTTCTTTTGTCTTGTTATTAGTCATGTACCTTGAATTTTTCTTTCATGTCCTTCTGTTCATCTTTCTTTCATGTTGTTCTGTGTGAGGTTTCCTTCGTTTATTAATCATCTATGAGATTTCCCATTACGAATTATTCTATTCTTATTATGACCCTATATATAGCGTCACGTTATTGTGAAGAGAGATATATTGATTGAAAACGTGATACAGAAATAAACTTTATCGATCAAGCCTCCTTTCAGTTCAAACTCAATATATGAATCCAAAACTCCAGCGACAAATTGTCATGTGTGAAATTTGTTCAAAGATCGATTTGAATGGACTAGACTTAAAGGATCAAGACATGCACTTAGTCTTAAATGAAGCAATAATTTAAAAAAATGCAAGAAACTGATGTTACATCATAACTAAATAACATCACAAGGTGTTTCGATCATAGCTAATGCACTTCGCGAAAATCAAGAATTGACTTTATTGAAACTTTGAGACAATTTTACGTTTGATGACGGTGTATATGCTTCAGTAGAGGCACTTTCATATACTTAGCAATAATACAACATTGACTTGGCTGGGACTACATGAAAATAGTATAGACAATGAAGGTGTTCGGCTGATAGCCAATGCAATCGAGAAGAATCCAAATGCAAGCCTCGAAAAATTACATATTTTTTTTCAAACGCATCGGTAGATGACTTATGCGTTGATGCTCTCGTTGCCATGGTTAAACACAATCGATCGTTGAAAGAACTTCTCATTATGAACTGTAATCTGTCTGATAAGGGCAAAGAAACACTTCAGAAGTCAACGAATCACGAGGATGTGCATTAGAGCTGATAGTGTGACGTCTTACTTTATAAATCAAACAAAACTTTCTTGTCCCTATGCCCCCTCACATATTAGAAGACCCGGGTTGTACGAAAAATCCTTCGCTAAAATCATTAAAAAATTTTTTTTTTCATTGATTTCTTACTGAATCGTCTGTATCAGAAAATAAAAGTTATGAAAGCATAAAAGAAAAAGTAATAGCATATTTCTGCATAATGAAAATATATTTTCTTCCTAGAAAATTGGCAATCACATTGTCACTGACGCTCATTCCCCAATTCGATTTTGAGATATCAAACTGCCTACTCCGTTATCATGTTGGTTTTAAGCTAAAATTCTTTCCTCGACAAGACTAGTTTAAATTAAGCAAAATCTGACGACCTCGAAGGGTGTGAGTATTTGTGGGTCTTCGCATTTTTTACACATATCCATCTAATTTAACTCTCAATAATTCTTGTTCGTAAGAAGAAACCATACTCCTGCAAATTTACATAACAAATTAATGTAACACTTATGTAACTAAATTATATTTCACACTAAGGTAACGAATGGAATATGTCAACAACAAAATGTTATTGACGCTTTTAAAATATGCCAGAAGGACGTGATGAGGAAAAACAAAGAAAATTGTGAATTAAGCAAGATGATGTATTTGTGATATGTTGTAGATAGAATAAAAAAGAGAATGAGTAATACATATGCATGGTGCTTTTCTAAAACAGTTTCGCACAGTTCTATTGTTCTTTTTCATGCTTTAACTTGAATATTTCATATAGATGATTTGCTTCATTGAACAAAATATTAATTCATGATTGTTTACCGATTATAAAATATTGTTCTTCTTTGATTGATCATATTCGAATTATGGGAAGGTCTCTAATGATGAACCTGCAGGATATTTTTATACGCATCCAAAGTAAGATTTTGTTTTTGTTTGAGATAAAGTCGGTATGATTAATTGTAAAATTTGATCAATTTCACAATCAACTGCTATACAGCTTATTTTTGTTCCTAGAGAAATCCATAGTAATCATCTTAATTTGTGCTCGACACTGCATTAGGGTTAGGATTTCAATTCATACATGCGAATAACATGTCACAGACAAAGTACCATTGATCTTATCCTGAATAGTTTCATAATAATCAACAATCGATGAAAAAAGAACTCCAAATAATTGTTTATTCGATTAGAAATGGTCACCATAAAACACATGCGTATGAGATGATATGAATGATATTATTTATTCTCCATCTTTCTTTTTACTCTGACGGCAGATCATAAAAGAAAGAAAAAAGCGTTTGTCTTTTAGTGTTCGTCACTTCTAAGATAGACAATCAGTGCACACATGGTTACTATCTCGATGCATACAATGGTTGTTATATGAATAAATAGTGTCATTCTTTGAAAGTTCTTTTTTTTTGCCCTATATTACAGACAGAATGAACATGAATACTATAGAAGAAACAATCGTCGATGATAATCAATCATCTAAATGTCAAGAGTTCATGAGTCAATTAGAGCAATTAATGACTTGTTCAACAACAACGAAGGAGTCGAAAAAACAAGTATGGGTACAATTTATTTCTCTATGGTGTGAAATTTTACAAATTCCATCAACTGATGCTCAAACATGGTACCATGAATGTGCTCGTATTTTACCGATTCTATTGAAATCGACTAGTTTTTATATAATAAAGAAAGAATTGTTCGTAGCGCGAGAAACATTTTGTGCCTGTATCTCTCACTTCAATCAATCACACATGAAAGCGTATCTTCAATTGACAACTGAACAACGAAAATTAGCAGAAAATCGAATCTATTACACTCATGTTTACCATCTTTTAATGATTGCTACACAGACAACGTTATCGATTCCATTTTTGGCGATCGAAGATCGACAATTTATCGATAATCATAGTGAGTTTGTTATTACATTGATTGAGAGTGTTGAGCGAAGTATGTCAGAACAGTGCCAGACTATCGAACAAAAGGAACATGCTTTAGGTGTTATTAATGAACGTATTCTTGCTCTACTTTGGAATCTATCTGATCGAACCGTACTTATACCAGTATTTTTGAAATGTGGCCTCGCCAAACAAGTAGTCATGTGGCTGAGTCAAGCGGCAATGTTGACAGACAAAGGTCGACGACCATTAATTAGCATTGCTTATAATATTGGACGACATGATGAAGGAGGTGATGAACTCAATAAATTTGGAGCTATCGCTTACATCAAGCAATCAGAACTATTCAAAATTTAATCTGACTTCTGGTGATCTGATCGAAATCGAACATAAAGAAAACTTCACATCAATAACAAAATCTACATGTGCTAATGCACATATAATAGTAAACTTCATAGTATCTTACTATTTTCAAAAATCTTGGTTTTTAAGAATTCATATGAGAGATTTTCCAGGCGGAAACCAGTTTTGTAAAAACTTGATCTTGCGACTCATATCTACTTCTAAACTAGATCATCGTTAATGAGGCTGAAAAATTTCCAGAAATGTATTCACTTGGCAACACTACCACAGCTCCTACCTCGACCATTGGTAGCCACCGTTTTGGTTAATCTTCGAGTCGCAAAACTGGTTGTAAGTTTGTAAGTTCTATATTTATGGAACTTTCAAGATAGGTTTTAAGAAAAACACTCCGGTACATTGTCCTGGCACTTTTTAAGCAATCCTTCTTTCTATTATTGTTGCACCTAATTTCTCTTCTATCATATTAATGATATCATTTTCAAATGAGTATATACAAGAAAATGTGAGTTCCCATTAATTTTAATTTTGATAATTGTATGTCATTGTAGAAAGCTGACGACGACAGATTCACGAATTCTTACTTCATCAATGGCTTTAGCCCTATTATCAACACCTGATCAACTGAAAAGTGATAAGAAAGGTAGTGATTTTGTACTTAATCAATTATTACAACTCGTCATGAATGCTGCTAAAAATGCGCGACGTCGAAGTAATGGTTTTCATGTTAGTGAACCGCTAGCTGTCATGGCGAAAATGTTTGTTGTCGAAGAACGTACACTTGATTATATTCTGTGTCATGCTGAAACAGAACCATCATCGGATACAATATCAACTATTCATTTATTTATTACTTTACTAATCGAATTTCGTGATGAATTAAAAGGAACCGGACGGCTCGAGCAATTTACATTGATTGCTCTATTAAATGTTCTTTGGAGTATATCATTTCAACCGAATTATGCACAAGAATTGATCAATAATCAAGAACTAATTGTAATAATAAGAAATTATACAGAAGATAATAATGAAGAAGAAAGTCTTGGACAATATAAGCCACTTTCAATGGAAGGTATTAAAGAAGCAGCTCATGGTATTCTTCATAATCTCAATTTGGATAATAAAAATGAATTGAAATTGGATGATCATTATCGTGTTCTCGATAGTATCGTATCAGATCCATTGTCCGTGTAAGAAAGAGATGATCTCTGTAGATTCATCAAAAGAAATCATATTCGTCTGATATTTTAGTAGCAACTGCAAACCATTGATCATGATTAGTTATTCTCATGCTAATAATACTTTTTGTAGCCAAATACTTGATTTATTAGGTAAAAGTTGTGATGCTTTTGAAATCTGGATCGATCGTACACATTGTCATATGAGTGCCGATTTATGGGAATCAATTGCTGAAGGAATGGAAAATGCATGTATCATATTATGTCTGATATCCAATCAATATTTTGAAAGTAAATCCTGTCGAAAAGAATTCATTTATGCTGTTGATTCACTTAAAAAAATTATTGTATCTGTATTACTCGAAAATTTTGAACCAAGAGGATGGCTTGGTGCGTATGTAGAAACAGTTTTCATTTCGTTCTAGAGATTATTATTTATGTCAGGCATTCGTATGACCGGTATGAAATATATTCGTATTCGGAATCTTGTTCGACCTGGCGAAGCTAAAATTACTGACATATTGAATACAATTCTATCATCACTCCCATCATCAACATCGTTGATTCACGAAAAAATTCCACTCGCAGATCACTCTAAACCATTATCTCAACATCATTCAATATCAACATCTATCGCTTCTAGTACGAAAGCAACTATTGCTCTTCGTCCATTTGAACAGTGGACGTTGGTTGGTAATGATATAAACGATTGGTTTGCGTCCAATCGAATATCAACACAAATTCGAGATTTATTTGATTTTCAAACAAAGGAAGAAATGCTTGAGTATGCTCAATTATTAATGAAAGATCGTGAACACCAGATGAATATATACGCAAAAATTTACCATCAGAAATAATACCACGGAGATACCATGCCTCCACATACATTCATTCGTTTTGCAAACACTTTAGAACGATTGTATAAAGATAATTTTTCATCGTCGTCTGTTACCACACAAAATTTATCAACTCCTATCAGATCGAATACATGTACAATTTTGTGAAGAAATTTATTCAAGTCTAAGAAGATTTTTCATTTTGACGATAAAATAATGAGAAGGATGTGAGTGTGATGTGTCTAGTGGATGATAAAAACAACTGAAATAGATTCGCTGCATAAATTAGAGTTTGAAGTACATAAAAATATGTATTCACCATTGTATTTATTCGTTATCGACTATATCTGAGAATAAGTATCAAAGTTTTTTCTTTTGTTGGTTTTTGCGTATTTTATTCAAATAGATAGATATTAAATATTACAGATTTCCAAATAGAAAGCAACTTAATTTTTTGTGCTGGCTTTCAGTTTTAAATAAGTTTTGAAGTATAAATGTATTTTCTTTTTATTTCGTGTCAAACCTTCTGTGCTGTCTAGATCCTTTCGTGATAGAGTGAGTCATTGAAAAAAATTAAAAGAGAATTTAAAAAAAACTGTACAACACAACGAACGATAAGAAACATATAAATTTGCCTTTTTTCGACAGTGCAAACCAAATCATTCGATAAAACAAGCTTATGAAATAACGCATGTATAACGTCAATATCATCTGCATATTAGACATGATTGAGACAGATATGAAATAGATCTCAATGACCGACTTTTGTGCTAGACGTTCGATTGAAAAGTGTTTATGAGTTAGTAATCTCCTTAATTCAGTGTGCTATCTTCTTCTCATACTCATTTATTATTTTAATTAATCTTAATTCATTCACGATGCATCATCATTAATATTTTATGATACTAAGGACGAAAATGCTAAGGATACTAGAGTAAAATATTCATATAAATTATGATGGACATAGAAAGTTTCGCATCTTCCAACAATGTCTCAAAATTAATTTGAAATGCTTTGGATTCTGTAGCAATGAAAAACAGCGAGTACGAAAACTTTTAGACTGTAGCACAAGATATTCATATACGCTTATATGTTCCGCGTTGCACAGTAAAATAAAAATTCTCTATTTATAAAATAAAGATTAATACCACAATTTTTTGTAAACTACTCTAAGGAAAATAAAAGATGAGATTTTCATGATAAAATCTTTCTTCGTTATTTTATTTATATCTATAATTGAAAAATAATAGATTTCGTTGCCATAACCCAAGTGAATGATTGTGGCCCCCGTATATCACAGAGACCCGCCGTTTACAACTCGAGAATTAGTCGCATACATGTGGAACGAAAACACTCACATTCACATCCTAGATTTCAGGAAAAGCTATGGGAAAACATTTTTGAATTAGAAGAACAAGCTAAAATTGCATGAATATTCTTGCAAAGTTCTTGAAAGAAGAGCGTCTTTTCGAGTTGCGTACTAAAATGGACATGATTTACAGGCCCTTGTTTTCATCTTCGCATGAGCACGAAAAAGATTTCTTTTTAAAATCTTTGTTATTGATTGAAAGTTTCGTATACAAAATATCATGACAAGATTTTTGTTTCTTTATTATGAAAAATTATGTATTCGTACATTGAGATTATCAAAACACAAGTGAGAATGAAGCTTGACAAATTTTATGCATGATTTCGAGTAATAGTGAATCTAGCAGTCTTGCAGACATTCGAAACAAGCGATTTCTTCTAAAGCACAACAGAAGCACAAACAAGCCAAACTGAAACAAGAAAGACATGCATTACGTTAAATGGAATGATAGTTTAGATCTTACCAGTCAAAACAAATGCCACCACCTCGAAGACCTTTTGGAAAATTATCGTGTGTTGGCAGAGGTTGTTCAATAATTGGGGTGACTTTGTTCATTGATTCCGTCTCTATTTATAAAAACAAGTAATATGACGACAAAATTGAAAACTGGTTTGCTTACCCTTTGAATTTCGATCGACCAGAGACAGAACTCTATCAACAAAAATAAATATGACTTGCGTAAAATTTAGTAGTTAGTTATTCTACTCACGAAGAAGGTTGCTGTTGAATACAAGAAGCCATGATTGAAATCAAACGCCTATACAATTTGTCCCAATTTTTATGCGTTCTATTTAATGTAATAGTCAATCAATCGCACATCACTATTTATATTTTTGCAACGTTTTCTTTTCCTCTCGCTGACACGTCTTTGTTATAAATAATTATACTAGTATCCGCCCAAACGAGCAGGATAAATTGCATCAATGAAACTACGACATACTTTATTTTTCTTTTCAATTAATTGGCGTGTCATAATTACTCATGATATGAAGTAGATGATTACATAGCTCAACTACGAAAAATAACAGCGGAAGTTACTAATTGTGTTCAGTAAATTATTCAAAAAAAAAAATTAGTATTCAACCATTGACTTTATTGATTGACATTTATATCAGTAAACATGTTGCTATGTTTTCGGATGATAAAAACATGACTACGATTACTTGTATTAAGTATTGTGCATTGAATATGCGTATTAGAAAGCTTTCAATGAAATCCTTGCAGGATTAAAATGTGAAATAGAACAGAGTGACTTTACTAACAAACAAAAGCCTATTTCACGTCGATCATTGTCTACGATGCCTAGATTGCCTAGTATATTGAAATATCTGTCATCTGAGCTAGAAAAACTGTATAAAATATTCACAAACTAATCAGATCATCATTTTGTATTGTATAACCATTATGATAGTTTTGTACTAAACCTACTGTAGACAAATTAGAAAAAAATTTCGTACAAACACTAGGTCTATTTCAAGAAAACTTTGGCATATTTTGATCTTGCGGAAGAATTCTATCAGATGGCTTTGACTAAGTAACTATTCGAATAATTCGCAGATTGGATAGTGTTACCGGAAGTTCGCCAATTCGGACTTTCGCCAATAGGACATTCGCCAATGGCGAAAGTACAGGGATGTGTTGGCGAAGGTAAGGTGAACTTTCGCCAATTGGCGAAATTCCAAGGTACGTATTGGCGAAAGTACAGCGGACGTTCGCCAATTGACGAAAGTATAGTGGAGTTTTGTCAGCCGTCACAAAATAATATTAATACAGGATAAATGTAAGGGCTAAAGCTAATACTGTTAGAATATATACTATAGCTTACGCTTAGAGTATATTCATATATGAGGGAGTCACGTTTTTAATAAGAAAAAAGCGAGATTAATATGAAGAAAAAGGCACATAAAGCATAATCTAATGTTCATCTGATGATGCACCTGATAAGTCTGATTTCGAAACATTAATTTTTTTTCTTTCCCTTTCGTCCACGGCAAACAGGTTCACCAACAAGATGAGAAAGAGACTTGATTGTATTAGCTAATGATCTTATATTTCACGCTAACAAGGGGCGGCATAATTATTATCTAAAATGCCATAAAAAATATATGACTACAACATACACAAGCGTAACTTATTAATATAATCGATCCACATTTTCTAATTCACGTCTAATTAGCACTTAAATTGACGAAAGTCTCCTATACTTTCGCCAACTGGCGAAACTCCATGAAGTGTGTTGGCGAAAGTACAGTGGACATTCGCCAATTGGCGATATTCCAGTGTGTCTATTGGCGAAAGTATAGTGGAGTTTCGCCATTGGCGAAAGTTTTATTGGCGAAGATCCGGAATCCCATTGGATACACCTCATCGACTATATTTGTTCATGGTCGAACGATTTTAAAAAGTCTAACAAAAGCTTTTTATCAAGGAGAAATGAAATGAGGCTGTGAGTGAATATAAAAGTGCAATTAGAGAAGGCCCACATTCACTCTATTGGAAGCTATGGTTAAAGTTCATTTAATATAGAAAAGGATTTCAAAATCGGTTGGAACTGGTCGGCATTCGGTAGAAAAATGCAGTTGTCGATCAATGATGCAAAACTTTTCTACAAAATACCCGTACATCCAAACTTGTTTATTGAATTTGATTATAAATGTTTTATCTCGTGAATTTTATTTGCTTTATGATTTAGATCATTTTTTAAAATAGGACAAAAAAGTCATGAAGCCATTTTTAATGTGTTCTGTAATAACTAATTATTTCCTGAACATGTTCGGGAAAATTGATTTCATCATTCAATTGTCGACCTTTTTCTAAACATTCAGATTTTGATAACGACGAACTATTGGTAGTATCATTACTCAGTACTTGTTTTCCCCATTCAATTTTATTTTGTTCAATCATTGTATTTATTTCTTCTTTTGTTATTTCATTATGTACTTGTCCAAATTGTAATATTTTCAAAGTTGTCAGAATTCGATTTTCTTTCAATGCATCTCTTAATTGCATTAATCCTCTCTGTGAAATACCATTAAATGTAAGATCAATCGAACGAATATGTTGATTTAATCGAATTAATCTGCTGATTTCTGTTGCACCTTCATCTCCAATAATATTATCTAAACCACCAAGCAGAATGGTTGCTTTCATATAACCAAGATTTAATTGTTCAAGTGATACATGATTTATAAGTGCATCGACTAAAGCTCGTGCACCATCAGCGCCAATACAATTGGATGCTAAGCCAAGTCGTTTTAGACGTTTATCATGTTTTAAGCCTGCAGCTATTTCACACGTACCCGCATCACCTAAGGCATTACATGAAATATATAGAGTTTCTAAATGATTATCATTTTGTTCCAAATGTACCCGTATTGTTCGTCCACTTTTAACAGTTAGACCATTGGTATCAATATACAAATGTTTTAGACTATGATTTGATTTAAAAGCATTAAATAATATTTCACAACCTTCATCCAATAAACCAGTATTCAATAAATCTAATGTTTGTAAGTAATGATTAGTTGTTAACATTCGAGCAATGTGTACAACACCAGTAGCTAAAATTGGATTTCGTTTTAACCAAAGAGCTTTAACTTTAGTATCGGTTGCTAATGCATCACATATCAGTGATATACATTCACTATCAAAATGATTCCCAGCAATATACCATGTATCAATATTAGAGTCAATATTGAAACGAATATATTGAGAAATAGCTTGAGCTCCAGGGAGACCAACAATATTATTACCTATGACAAAATATACAAAAGTTTTTTTTTTTCTAAAAAGATCATCTTAGTCGTTCATCATCTTACCTAATAATAATCGATTAATCACTGAACTATTTTTCATTGCATTAAGTAAAGGTTGTATACCTTGTGGACCTACGACCTGTTTACATAAATCTAATCGTCCACCAGTCATGATCGTACCACGTGCGAAAACAATAGATTGTTTATCATCACTTGGTCCAGGTTTATTTAATATTAAATGTTCCAATAATGGTTCTAATTCTTCTAGAGAACATGGAACAACTGAAGAGAAAACATTGAAAGATACAAAACTGATTAAGACTTCTTCTGACCTGCTTCTGGTTCAGGATTAGTTATGTAAGATGAAGGTGGAGCTTTTAATAATTGTTCTCGTTGTTCTTTTGTATATCGAAATGCTCGATCTTTTCGAGTTCTTGATCTCATTAATTCATCCATGAAAGTTGGAGATGCTTTCTTCAATACATGACAAATTGATGAAATAAGTCTTTTATAAGTTTGATATGCATAACCTTTATCGGCATTTAATTGTTTTTCAGTTTTATTATTACTATTAGTTATAGGCTGCATATATTTCGCAATTTCTTTTGCCATAACTAAACAAAAGATCATATAGAGAATAGAAAACGTATGAAATATTTACTTGTGCTTGGTTTTGTACGTTTATTAGATAGTCGTGGAGCTTCTTTAGCACAGTTGCTAATCCATTCTTGATTTTGAATAGATTGCTCTTGTTCATTATCATTTGCAGACTCATCTGGTTGATTTAAAACAACACGAGAATCATGCTGTAATTGATCACCAAAAATTTTCACACATGTTGCTTTCAAATTATCTAATAATGATCTTTCCGTTAGAAATTCACTTGCCATTTGATCAGCGGTTACATATAAAGTCTTTAAATCTCCCCAACCACCATATTTTGAAATAGCATTCAAATATAAAGAAAGGACTTCATCAGGTTTTTTCAAATATAATAATATCCAATGTCGAAAAAATAATGATGTAACATTTTTTTCGTTCTCATCTTTAGGTTCACTATTATGAAATGTTGTTCGTTCACACCAGATAAGTAACATAACATCATCGATTAGATAACTATCGATATTTTCAATCATGATTTCAATATTTTCTTGATCCATTTTTTTCGATAGACCAATAGGAATAACAGGTAATTTTTCATGTTTTCGTTTAGTGACTGGTAAAGTTGATATTCGTTTTTGATGATACGAAATGGTTGCTTTTAGTTTCTCTTCAAACGTTATCAATGATTCGAGCTGATTCATGTCAGTACTTGTTATGGTACTTTGTTTGTGTGATAAACATTCTTGTTGTTCCATTAAAAATTGTTTGATTTTAGCATTTGGCCATGTATTTGGTGTGAAATGTCCACCAGGATGTGATAGAATGATAGGATTTTCAAATGCAGCTGCTAATTTTAGCGTTCGATCATTATTAACTAAAATATCATTGACTCCATAAATATGTAAAGTGGATACATTTTTTATTGCATTCGGTTGCATTAAATCTTGATGACATTCCGCTCGAGAAGCAAATCCAGATATTAATATAGCAAAATTAAATGAAATATTACCAAATGGTTGTAATCCACATAAAATTCCACCTAACGCAGCTCCTTGCTAAATAAAAATATATGTAAAATGATTTCTAAAGTAAAATTTGTTTTAAGAAAAGAAAAAGAGAATACATACTGAAAAACAAAGTATTCCATCGAACGGACCTTTTGCTTGAAATAGCTTATCAATATAATGTAATGAAATGTCTAAACTATGATAAATTTTGTTATCGGCTGAAGCATTCCACCATTGTCGCTGATAACTTGTTTCGGGTAAATTTTCATCTCCAAAAGCAGCTACTAATTGTTCTTTTACTTCATGTGTAGGAGTGTATGGTAATGGAGCATTAGCAAAATAAAATGTTCCTATGTCTTTTAACTCCTTAAACAATTTCTTCGCACCTCGTTTTAAACTATTGGCATTCTGACGAAAACTATGTAGAACAAGTATATTTACACGAGGATATTCTAATTGTCTTGAACATGGTATTTCATTATTATTGACAGGTTCAGCTGCTACAGGTTTGATCGGTTGTACAGATAGTACAAATCCATTCCGTGCTTTTTTTAAATATTCTTCCTCTTCTTTAGTAGATTCTCGTCCAAGAATAATATTTCGATGTGGATAACGACCGAATAATTCGATGATTTGTTGATGAGTTTTTGCTGATCGAGCATTTGCAGCATATCGTTTACGCAAATCACGTTGAGTTACTTGTGATACGAGATCATTCATTAAGTTAGCACCTTGTGTTGTGTAAACAAGATTCTCAGAATGCGTAAGTGGCAGATATACAAACATACGTTCTGGTAAGCTGTATGATGTGATATGTGTTGGATCATCGATAATTTCAAGTGCTAATTTAAGAGCTAAATGATCAAATTCAAACATTTTTGATGTACCACGATAGATATTTCGAGAAAATTGATCGAATAAAATAATTAAAGCGAGTTTGCCTCGATTTGTTGTTTGCCAACATTGATAAAGGTGGCTGTTTTCATTTGCAGCATTGATTAATAATTTTTCAAATTTATCTTTGATCTCTCGATCTACTTGTTCATCGACTTTAAACCATAATTTTGTATTTAAAGGATAACTTTTAGACCATGTATCAATATTTTCACCAAACCAATATGAATAAATAGATTCAATGGCTTGCTCATCTTTATTTTTTGTTGATAATTCCTTTGCACATTGTGATGATGAAAGAGCAGAATCAACGATTGTAGTCATAGTTAGAATGCTTACAGTAAAGAAAAAAAAAGCAAATATTATCAACCCACATGCTCAAACATTGCATCACCTAGTTATTACACAACATAGGTGAAATACAGTGTTGTTTTGAATAGTATTGCACATTTTATAGTGTTTTATCAAAGAAAGTAAAAGAAAGTGAAACATATTGCGCATAAATACATAAAAATCAATGTAACAGATATTTGTGTTGAATGAAAAACAATGACTGGAAATATGTCACAAGATCATTCTTTACTAATACTTAAAAAAGAGCACTATTTGTAATATGGTTCGAATGCGCTTGCTTTTATACATTTGATACAAATTCATAAATTATTATATTGATTTATTGAAACATGTAGAGGATTAATGACATTAAAATTTGACACCCTCAATGAACGAAGAATAAACGAAATTATCTCGTTTTCATAGCTAATGCCAATCTGATATCGAACCTAAATCATTCTTGATGACAAAATCACATGATTCATTCAACATTTTTATAATTAATTGTATCAACTAGACCTTTCATCAGAAAAGAATGACATTGAACATAAAGTTGAATATGATGAAATATTGAAAGGCACGAAATGTATGAGCATCTATAGAAGGATGTCTATCGAAGATCAGTTGTGTTTTGAATAACTTTTTTGGTATTGAAAAAGCTACAAAATCTTTCATTATACAGCTCAAAATCTTTTGATGGCATCATTGTATTTTTGAGCACAACATAGTTATTGAACTTGTGTCGGCAGAGTACATTTTCATTGGAAATATTTAGTACCAATTGTAATGTAATAGAGAAACTAAAAAAGTACAGAATTTTATCTTCATTTATTCTTATGTAATCTTATCGTTAATATCGTTTCTTCTGACACAGCTATTGACAGTGAATATTCTTCATACACTAAAATCACTTATCACGATACTAATCAAGAAAAGAAATGTTGCAATGATTCGAAGAACTAGTATTGCAATTTCACTACTAAAATATTTTTCAATTAGTATAGATAAATTTTGATTGATACTCTGTGCTGTTGTTGATTTTTCTTAATTATCATTTCTATTGATATTTTTATGAAACTATTTTAGTTTGTTGAATCATTTTTTTATTTGATTATTATTTCTTTCATTATTAATCGAAGCGCAATTTATATAAACGAATAACTATTAAACGAAAAAGTTATTCAATAATTATTGTCGTATATCATTTTTTGTTGTTTCAGAAAAATATATCAAAAATCGAAGATTTGTTCTTCCACCCACTTTATAATAAATATGACTTGCATTCAAATATTTCTTTGGTATTCATGAGTCAATTAAAAATAACTGTTTAAATATCGACTGAATTTTCACTTGTTTTCCATCGTCATTTTAATGTATCTAATGTAAGTAAATGATTATCTCTTAATAGAAGACTCTCTCAAGTATTTTTAAATAAAAAAAAAGTTTAGAAGATTTATTCTAATGTAATTTAAGGTGATCAGTATATTGTTTCCATTGTTGTTTAAATTTATTTTCAGTTATGACCGAATCAAGCCATAAATTAAATTCCATAGGAATAATTGATGTCATGCATATTTCAACTGGATAAAATCTGAACATAATTGTAATCTATACTGACTATCTTAAGTAATCATTTATTTACTCGATATTTGTTGCGATGAAACAAGATTAGTTATAAGTGAATATCATTACTTTCTGCTCTATTGCATTGTCTTCCTAGAAAAACAAACGAAAACTGATTTCTTGGAAGTGAATTTTATTGAACAGTGATTGCATCTATTTCAATCGCAATAGTTCGACCCATACGTAGCATTCGTGTGGTTTTTTTTGCAGCAAATTGAAATGAAATTTATACATTCGAAAATGTGTCTTAAATAAATCTATTTGAAAGTTTCCATTTTAAATATAGGGATACAAAAAACAATACTCTACATTTTTGTGACATATTATCATTCTTCAACTAATATCATAATGAGAAAATTTCGATACAAGCTGTTTGTTATGATATACGACAATAACATCAGATCATATTTGCCTTTGACGTATATCTTCTGCTTTCTTTTGTTTTTTCGTGTTTTTCCTTCTTCTCTAATGCTGAGAATCTGAGTGTTCTTTCAACTGCGACATCAACATAAACTTTATAAAAGATAATTAAAATTTAATCGAAACCTTCATTTATCTTCTTCTTCCTTTTAACATAGATTCCTCGTTATACATGATATTTTATTGGCATGCAGTCAATAACAAAAAAAGAAAAACCATTGTTGTTTATTCTATCTGTTCAATATCATCTAAAATGAGTTTCAATTCAGTATTTTCAATAAGTGAAATAACATCATTAACATGGTGTTGAACACTTTGAAGATGAAACAGTGTTCGGATAAGAACAAAAAGATATCGAATCAAATTCATAAATTTTAAAACAGCTTCATGATGACTATATCTATATAGGAGATATTTCCATGTTATTTCGGCGTATCGATTTTGAATCAGAAAGATTGTTTTTGTATCAACATAATGTTCTTGTAATTTTGAAGAAAATGAATAAATATTTGTCGAGAAAAGCAGTAATGAAAGTGTCATTTTAGTGAAAACAATATCAGGATCAATTAATTTTGTTGCATAAATAGTAAGAGAAAGACATTGGTCTCCATAGATTTTGTGAAGAGCATTTAAGAATGATCGACAAGTTATTAATTGAGATTGATACAAAATAAATAATGCACCTAAACATAATATAGATTCACTGCTAGTACGAAGTAATATTGAACGATCATCTGATGATAAACTACAAAGGTCACCATTCGAACGAAGAAACAAGTCTGTTGTTTCGAAAAGTAATGAAAAGAAGTCTGTAATTAATGTTTCATTAGGTAATATCATAGATTGACAAATTTCATCCTGTTTAATTATAAATTGAGAAATAAATATGATTTTTCTTTCATCAAAACTATGAATCACATTTGAGAGAAGAGTCCATTGACTATTAGTCATTGACGACGTGTCCGATTGCAATAAATTTAATGTTGGCAACTCAAAAAGAAGAAATAGTTTTATTAGTAAGATATTATCAAATAACAATGATTTAATCTTCATATCGTTTTTTTCTTCTTTATGTAATCAATGAAAAAAAAACAATGCTTTTGATTTTCTCATTGCATATCTGATTAATGCTGTAGATGATCTTTGTTCTATCTTGACAAAAAGAAAGAATGTTCTATTTTGAGATAATCACTACACATAACTTAACAATTGTTCTATCAATCTATATGATGAGGAGATCATTAACTATACTTGTTGAAAACTAAATGTCGAAAATCTTCAAAGTCTTAAAGACTAAAGAAACATTCTAATTCTTATCTCATTATTGAACATTCAACGTTTTTGGAGAAAACAGATATTTAATAAGAAATTCAACAGAATTTTTTCATTGAATATGTCAAAATATAGAAAAAAAGTCAACTCGAGACACTGATCACGCAATCGTATCAATGTACTTTTATCGTTAGAGATTACTTATTAAAAACGAACAATATTTTATTAGAGATTTATGCAAATATCATCAACATAAATTCAAATATTAACTTTTTTAATTAAAATACATTTTAATAAACCAACTATAGAAACTCGAAATCATGATCATAACCTATTTTTAAAAACAAAGGAATTCAAGTGGGATGATTTTCATAGATCTGATCGAATTTAATATGTTTAATCAAAAAGCAAACGCTCAAATAACGTCAACAGTTCTTTTCAACTTAAAAAGATGGCTTTCATATCTAAACAACGTCTAAGAAACTTTTTCACAATAATTTTGACATACATCATGCATTCAAAAGACCATTTTGGTTGTCAAAGCACGTCATAAATATTACGGAAAAAAATATTTGCGCGTTTTCCAGATGCAAAAGAAGTCTTGTTATGTGTCTATCGATTAAGTTGTTTAGATGCATTTTTTTTACAAATTCTTATCTGGTTAGGTTTGCACTAAACAAACTTCATAAAATTTCTATTTATTATTAAATGATTTAAGACAAAGATTTCAATTTAAGCTATATCAGTTAAGGATGGTATTATACCTTTACTATACTACATAATGTAATGTTTACTATATTTACTTTAAAAAAATCAACTATAATATAGTAGAACAATATATTATAGTTCCAATTTTGGGAATTTTCTTATCTCAACACAAAGACCAACACACGAAAGGACAGGATACCTTTAGAACATATAAACTGAACTCGACTATGAAAAAATGTTCATTTTGTCCATATTCAATACTCATACCTTTTTTTTTTAAATATCATTTTTAAAAGAATATTATTGATACATAACAAATGATCATATATCTATTTAATCTTGATTCGAATTCTTCAATTTTATTTTAATTTCAAGGATCTTTTTCCAAATAATCAAGTAAAAAAAAATCTCATTTGAATTTATTCTTTATGACGTAATAAATATTTATTTATGAGTACATGAAGTCTATTGTTGGTCAATCTTACTACGATTCACCTG